GCCAACTCCACTATCAACTTTAGCTTGTTACTCTAATGGTATTCTTGCACACTGCAATATGGGAGGTGTCAGCTGTTCAGTTCAAGTCCGCAAGGATAAGAATCCACCAGAGAACACGCAAAAGCTAATAGAATCAAAACATAGTGGACCAAAAGGTCAAGATTGAGCTACTTAGCATGGTCCTGTTAGCACCTGCGACTAACCTGCTCTAAAAAGCATTTTTCTCAAAGTAAATTTAGGCATATATTTTTCAATAACATACCAGCTGAGCTACTGCCATCGAGACGAACGGGAATGCTTAGAAACAGCTCTCTCTAGACCTTCTTGTAATGGACAGGAACCTCAGGAGAGTGAGAGATCCTTTAAGAGATAAAGTCAGGAAAAAGTAGAGTCTGCTCTTGGAATGACAGTAAATTATCCTCACTGTTGGTTTTGCCTGATTCTAAAGCTGCCATCAAGCTGAATGAGTTTTGGTGTCTATTGGAATGCAGCTCCATTTCAGTTCAGCTACACCAAAGAGCAAAAGCTTTGAGATCTATCTTATTTTTCATAATGTACGTCACCTTTTTATCATCTGAAACATAAAAAAAATTAGATGGGAGGAAAAATGCTTTCCCATTCTCTCATAAAAGCATTGCATTCCTCCAAGCAACTTTGCATTCTCTCGCAGAACATTTGCGTTCTTTCAGAAACATATTGCATTCCCCCAAGAAACATTTGCATTCTCTCGCAAAACATAAGCATTCTCTCGCAAAATATTTGGGTTTTCTAGCAAAAGTATTGCATTCCCCCTAGAAACTTTACTTCTGTCAGGACCACTATCGTCAAAGATGATTGACAATTATCATACAGTTTGGATTGGCGGTATGGTTCTGTTCTGGGCAAGAACTCCCTGCGCATCCATGCAGCCTAGCATGGATGAGAGCAGGGAGAGCAGCAATTACCCCCCAGGGTAAACAGAACAGAACCAACATACATGTATTGCATATATTGTTAAAGTTCAATAATTGTATGTACACATTTTAGAATTAGTCTGATTCAAAGGACAATCAGAAGGCTAAATCCTGACTGACAGAGGAGGAGTTGGGGATGGAGGAGGGTAATTAGCTATTGAGCAATGCGAAAACTGATGATAATACTGAGGGACCTTATATATGAATGCTTAGATAGGTGTCGTATTCCCATAGGTAGATGGGGATCAGCTGAGAGTCAGAGGATGCGAGCTTGACTAACATGACCTGCCAGAACTAACGCTACGCTTGATATTCTCTCAAAACATTGCCTTCTCTCTCAAAAATGTTGCGTTCCCACAAGAAACATTTGTGTTCCCTCGCAAAACATTTCCATTCTCTCGCAAACTTAGTGCGTTCTCTCGCAAACATATTGCGTTCCCCAAGAAACTTTGTGCAAAACATTTGCGTTCTCTTGCAAACACATGCATTTCCACAAGAAACTTTGCATTCACTCGCAAACATGTTGTGTCCCCCCAGGAAACATTTGCGCTGTCTCACAAAACATATTCATTCTCTTACAAATGTTTTGCGTTCCCATGAGTAATTTTGCATTGTCTCACAAAAGGACTGCGTTTATCCGAGAAACTTTGCACTCTCTCACAAAAAAATTTGTTTTCTCGCAAACGTCTTGCGTTCCCCCAAGAAAATTAGCATTCTCTTGCAAAACATTTACAAGCTCTTTGAAAAGTACTGCATTTCCCCGTGAAAGTTTGCGCTTGCAAACAAAAGCACTGAAATCTAGTTTTTCATCACAAAAGTGTCACAAGTGAACACAAAGTTTGTTGGGGGAACGCAAAAGGTTTGCAAGTGAATACAATGTTTCTCTGGTAAACGCAAAAGTTTCACAAGAGATTGCAAAAGCATTGAAATAATTGTTTTCCTCCCATCTCATTTTATTTTCCATCAAAATGTTCCCTTAGGGGCTCTGTATATTACTAAGCAACTTATAGGATGCAATTAATTTCAAGCATAGAAAACAAGCGTACATTTAGACTGGCGAGCCCAAATTTATTTGTATAGCACATTTCCCCCACACTGGTAGTTTAAGTTTTGCTTTGAATAAGTTTAGGCTTGACATTTATAATAAATGTTGTTTATAATGAATGCCACTACAATTTACATTTGTTTTATACTTGTGCTTTTCATTCCTGTTTTGAATACCATGATTTTCTGTTTCTGTTTTCCTCCTGAAAAATTCAATTGATTGACCTGGTGTGACTTCTTTTCCAGAAAATCCAGTACTGTGTGCCTGATCCATATCTCAGCTTGAACTGTTGCCATATTTGTCGATACTGAATGTAAAAATGAATGTAAGAGGTAATTACTGCAAAACCATCTGAAATATAGTGAAGTTTGAGGTAGGTATTTTATGCAAAGTGAACAAAAAGTGAAAATGTTGTAAAAAAAAAACACTGGAAGAGGGTGAGAGCAGCCCATGAACATTAAGGTTGAAACCAATAAATCATGCTAACATGTATATATCTCTACAATTTCCTTTGAAATATCCATTTACTAAAGTTTCCACACTGGAAAAAAGGTGGAACCAATAAATCAATGTTCAGTCTGGAATATCCTTTATCTTCAGTAAACCTGGAGGTCAAATGCAAAGTAAGCCTTCAACCCAGACAGACTTACTGTAGGGTAAATGTATGGCTTAGTGATGTTGAAGTAATACACTGTACGCCAAATTCCAGTTATAGTCTGGCTACTCCAGTCATTTCAGTAAGGACAAAGAGTAAATCATTTCTATATGGACTTCACTTTGTGCACAGGGGAAAATGTCATGCCAGAACAAAAAAGGCCCTTCCTAAACTGTTGCCACAAAGTTGGCAGCCCATAATTCTCCTGAATGTCACTGCTTGGTGCAGCATTAAGATATAAACATTGTACAGCTTCCAAAACCATTAAGGGAGGAGGAGGCCATCTACTTGTGGTAATATATTTTAGTTTGGTCATTTATTTTAATTTAGCACAATAAATGTTGTCTTTAACACTTCAAGTTTCTGAAGTCAAAATTCACTGACAATCGTCCCCAACAGTAAGATCTTAACTTGAGTCAGAATCACGAACGAATCAGTTTGATAGGAAAATGAATCATTAAGTCTGATTTGCTAACTGGATCAAACAATTTATTGACAACCAGATTAAAGGGTTGATTCTGGAGGTTACAGCTCACTGGAGGGGAAGATATTGGTCCCAAAAAAATGTTGGTCTGTTTTCCATACAAGGCAGTTTTATGACTTAAATATAATTCACACATATGCTACTTTTAGGTTACCTTATAGTGCCCATCTGTTTTGGGGCTTGATGGCCATGGCAACTATAAACTACTGTTGTAAGAAAAATAGTTCTCCCCCCCAAAAAATCTTCTTTTATGTTCTATATAACAATAAATATATAAAATAATGCTATAGGTTCTAAATGTTATGAGAGTCAGTAAAAAACTAAAAAAGCCTTATTTTGCAGTTAACTATTTAACACTTTGGGGAGGAGGGAAAAAAATATTTTTGTATCCAAAAATGACAGTGTGTTTAAGTGAAATACAAAAAATATATTACTGAATTGAAGCCTGAATGAAAAAGCAGTTTCCAACTCTTTGCAAAAGTAAGATCAATATATTGAGTTTCTTCACTTTCATATCAATGTGCTACATCGATAAAACACTTGGAAGGGAACATCTATGCAACAATAAGGAAATACAGTAAATTCCAGTTGTGTCCAATGTGAAAGGATATGCGTCATCACAGATTAAGTGAGAAGAGAGTCTTGCTGTGTTTAGACGGGCTGGAGAGGCATTGTGCAAATTTCATACATCACAATCTGTATGAATTTAGAATCTATCATACTGTCATGGTGAGTCATTATGTGTTCTGCAGAGGCAAACATTTCCTACTAGTAATGCATATTATACAGTGACTATGCAAAAAATAAAATAGTGTGTAACAACGTAACAGTCAATGCATGTGTTATATTTGCATACATTGACTGTTACAATGTTACACACAGTATGTTTTTTTTTAGCATGTTTCTTAATTTTTTTGTGCTTTTATATATCAGGGGTTGCTATTAATCAATTTACTTACTAACTAATTCATTTTTGTCATATGAAGTTCACTTTAAAACGTACAAATTAAAGTGACAGATTTTACCGTTGTACCACTGTCCCACAATTTCAATCTTGAAATATAAGAATCCATCATAGAAAAAATAATTATCCATTAAGTTTTTTAAAGCTGTGATAATCTAAATATGTTGAAAATATTTGAATATTTCTTGAGTGAAAATTATTTGTATGAACACAGATTATGATTGTATGTAAAGGGCTCCATACCAAAACCTAGTGTCCTACCTTGCTCAAATTGAACCTCGGCAGCATGGTGTGGCTGCTAGAATTTAACTTACGTTACAAACTTATAGAATTGTACAGTAAGAAAGTTATTTCCTTTAACCAGGAAATTAACGTTCTTAGAATTGACAAGACGGTTGACCCTGAGTGGTCAGCTAAATATCTACAGTGGATCTAAAATATTAATAATTAATCATAATTAGTTATGGTTAATTATTCATATTTCCCCATGAGCTGATTCGCTACATTAGTATATTACTAAATTACCAATAAATAAAAATACACAGACACACAAATATGAGAAAACTAGCCTCTGTGAAATGAATCACATTTTACTGCTACTTTTCAGTATTTAATTATTTATATTTATAATCAACATTTCTCTCACATTGCATGCCATCTTAAATTATTATTTTTATTTTTTTGACTGAGCTTGTTGCAGTGCATTCTGGGGTTCTTCATATTCGCGCTGCCTACCTTTTGGAACATCAGGAGTGCGCCTACATAGGCAGGTCACCAGCTTATGAAACAAAGTTTATGAGTTTTGGAAAACACAGATATCATCATCTAAATTCGATTGCTCCAAAGCAAGAATAATGAAGATGCCAGACAGTCAGGGAAATTCATGAGGGAGAACTTACCTTCTGAATCTTGAGAATAGCTAGCAGCGGTGAGCAGAAGAACGCCAATGCCTATTCCCAACCATTTAAAGAGCCACGATCTCTGGCGCATCTTCATGTATTACAGCATGCTCACCTGTGAACATAAAAGAGACAGATTACGGATGAAGTGCTTCTCTCGCATATATGAGCCGCATAATGGTGGTTGCACCATTTAAGACGCATGAGTCATAAGTCGTATAATTGGTAGCCTTTAAACATGGTGCACTTCTAGACAGACTCTAGGGGGATTCAGATGCCAAGTGACCATTTGATTTTCATCTCTTTGAGGAAATTATTTACTGTTTGTCATTAAAAGCAATCCCAAGGACTTTTGAAGTTTACTTACGGAACATTCTAATTAATTCTGGTATCAAAACAGACAATGATACCGGCTGAGTCAATTTCCCCACCATAATTACTCGAGTAATTTTACATCATAAAAATAATAGAGAGTTTGGCTTTGGGGATGTTGCATCAAACTGAAATCCTCGGTAATAACAGTGGGCAGGAACTATTTGCTGCACATGTAACCTTTCCCTTTGAAGTGAGCAGAGAGATAGATAGCGTTCTTCATGTGAGAGATATAACAACCCACAGCAAAGCGCAGCTTTGAAGTTTGCAACATGTCTGAGGGGTCAACGAACTCCTTCCTGGAAAAGACTCAAAGACCAACATGCTTTGACAGGTTTGGATGGAAGGAAGAGATAAGCTTTGCTCCTAGAGGAATAACGTCAATTTATTTATATTATGACTAATCAGAGGAGACCGAGTCAGAAGTGAATCTTACAATGATAAGAGTCTGTATCATCTGAAAGAAAATAGATAACACAATCAAATCTATAGCAATTCTTTAAACGAGGTCAATTTTAGTGAAGGATGGAGACAATAGTGCTCAAAAACACTGATTACTGAGATAAGATGGTGCCCAATTTTACGTGATTTTGACAACAGCATGTCCATTTCACCAGAAAAAAAGTTCTAAACAAGCGTACTGTTTCATTTTTATTATGTCTTTATTTTATTTCATCCCCCATTTTACAAGGTTTCACGGCAGTGTTATTACTCCTCGCAAGGCTAAAACCCATAAATGAGTTAGCATTTTGCCACTTCCGGTTCCATCATCCTGAAGTCAATTGGTTTTTTGAATGGGTTTTTGGTTAAATGCCTGAAATGAGGTCTGAAGTTGACACAAGCTCAAGATATTTTCACGTTTTGTTCTACAGCTTAAAATACACCAGTAAAACGATTTTTTTAAAGCTTTTACTTGTCTTAAAAAAGGCAGCTGCTAACAAGTGGCTAAATGGGACTACAGTGATTTTCTGAGACCTTAAATGTCATCACACTAAATGGGGGAACTCATCTTATCATAAATCTGCTTTTTCATCCTCATTGTGTTTATAATCATGCTCTTGCCAACTATGCTCAAATTTTAAAATAAAGAGTAAACGAGTTGTTGGAAGCTTAATGGTGGTGACACTGGAGTCTCACAACTAAGGTGTTGCTATATAGCCCACCACGATTAGCTTTTTAATTCTGGCCATTGTATTTTGGCTTCGAAATTCATAAACGTTGTGTTCATTGGTGAACAAAAGGTGCACAATGAACAAAACAAATTATTGTCTTTTGTTGGCCACAGACCTTATTTTCTGCAATGTCAAAAGCCAATGGAACAATTCTATTGGGTCTTTGTCGAGGGAACCAGGGTGATGCTAACTTCCAGGTTGATAAATAAAAAATATATATCACGATAATATTTTTGCTCCATAATATCGTCCAGCCCTAGTGTGATATACAAAATATAATTTTGTCAGCACAGTCTGTCAGACTCAACCCTGTTCAATAGATGGAGCTGTTATCAGATGCTGTGTTTTCATGTTTCATGAAAACAGGATTCATGTTTCAATTCTGTTTCATGTTAGTTTTGTCAATACTGATTATAAATATATGATATGACAGTACATGCTTTTTTTGTATACGGCTATGTCGGCCCATATTATGTAACAGGCAGGCACAAGCACAGTATTCTATACCTGGTTCTGACACTGTCTAATAAAATGTGTAAATAGGAACTGAGAGAACAACAGCCTTATTAGCTGAAAGCATAATCAAGAAGTTAGCCTAAATATTTAATAAATAATAATGAATATTAATAAAAATTAATACCTATTTAATATTTAATAAAAAATCATACATATTTATTCAAGAAACACACGTGTAGAACTCAACATATGTTTTGATTCTGTGGAAATCTATGAGTTCTGCAGGTACAGATTCATATGGGTCTACTAATAAACAAGGAAAACACACACACACACACACAAACTTGGTTGCACAAAAACATAATTGTACATTTTATGTTTTCAGTTCTATGGCCTACTTTTTCCCAGTACTCAGAATTGATACAAAAAAAAAACAATAAATAAAAAAAACTTAATTTGACGTTATCGACAGATATACTATGTGAATGGAAATAAGTGCATTTCCAAATCACAGAAGAACTGAATGAACATCACCTCAGCACAAGCTAGTCTTCAGCATCTGTAATACAATCTTGACAGATTTCTTTCAGGTATCAGGACATGGCTTTGCAAAACCTACAGAGGCTATTTTGAAAAGTCAATAACAAAAAAATTAAATAACTCCAGATGTCTGGTTGTGATTCAGATGTCAAATCACATCAGCAAATTCAAAGATACTTGACAAAAAGTTCCATTGCTGAGTGAAAAAGAGACAACCATAGAGAAGGAGAGAGGGAGACATGTACTTTCAAGCCTTTCGACTTGTACTACATCAAAACCCTCAACACTGGAGATGATCATTGCACTGCCATGCTCGCTGACTATCATTATGAATGGTCTTTGTTCTTCTGAACTGAAAGGGTCTTTGGAGACACGAATGTAATTTCATCCTCTGTTGTCAGGACGGAAGCATATCTCTCCCCTGTGTTTCTTAATACAAAGGTCTTCCTCTGGACAATCAATGACAGATGCTTCAGCGCTACGCCGTGAGAATGCAATGGGTTGACGGCAGACGCAGTATGTCAAGGGGCGAGATCTATAAATGTTTCCTTCAAAATGTATTTTTAGCTTCAAGAAATTAGACAAAATTGAGTGCGGCCTTTTGTGTGCAGCCTAACAATCAGTGCACAATAAAGCTATGGGCCTCCAATAAGCTAATGGTCTAGAACAGCGCTCTCTAGTTGAACCCTAATCTCTGAGAGTAACTGAGACAACACCTGCTCGACTGTGTAAAGGCTTCCCAGAGCCACAATTTCACAAAGAGGCGCTGAACATATGTTGCCTTCAAATCAGGTCAGAATAATCGTATTTATGAGATGAGTGCACATGAGCGTCACCAATGTCAAAATTACCACTAGGGAATCTTTTAAAAAGCCCAGGTATTCAAAATGCGGGTGTTTAATGGAGGAAGCACGTTTTTATGTTGGTGGACAGATGGATGAATGGATTTATGAGAGAAAAACAGACACAACAATAGATAGAATTATATATAAATGGATGAATGGATGGATGGAACAGACAGGCAGGTAGACTGACAGATAAAATGACAGACCGCTAGAAAGACTGATAGATAGACAGACAGACACACAAAATGATAGAATGATAGAACAATAGACAGACAGACAGACAGACAGACAGACATACAGATAGACA